GATATCCTTTCCAGTATAGGGTACACTAATCCCTAGCTCTGTTTTACAATATAGGGTACACCACTCCCTAGTTAATATTAGCTTAAACGCAGGGTACACCACTACCTGATATCATTACCAATTGATCTTAAATATAAGGTACACCGCTCCCTGATATCATTACCAATTGATCTTAAATCCAGGGTATACCACTCTCTGATATCATTACCAATTGATCTTAAATGCAAGGTACACCACTCCCTGCTATCCTTTTCAGTATAGGGTACACCAATCACTAGATGTATTTTCCAACATAGGGTACACCACTCCCTAGTTGATTGAGCTTAAACGCGGGTTACACCACTCCCTGGTATCATTACCTATTGATCTTAAATGCAGGGTACACCCCTCCCTGATATCATTATCAATTGATTTTAAATGCAGAGTACACCACTCCCTGATATCCTTTCCAATATAGGGTACACCAATTCCTAGTTGTATTTTTCAACATAGGGTACACCACTCCCTAGTTGATTGAGCTTAAACGCAGGGTACACCACTCCCTGATATCATTACCAATTGATCTTAAATGTAAGGTATACCACTCCATGATATCATTACTGTGAACAACTAATTTTTGACCACACCCGAATTCTATACTATTTTAATGTAAATAATTTTTTTAGGTCTAATGTTGATATTTTAAACTTTTATCTTTCTTATAATAGATTTTGTTTGAAAAATAAATTAAATTAAAAATTACAAAAAAAAGTGTTCATATAGTTAGAATACAAGTTTTATTTGTATTTACAAGAGAAAGAAAATTTACAAGCAATATATGGTTTCTTTTAATTAGAATATTAATAAATGATCTAGTGACTTTAATAATTTTTTTATTGTCATTTATATTCTAGCTTAAATATTTAATGTTTCTTGTATTTAATCTGAAATAATTAACTAATATCAAGTAGGATCTTATATTTTTCTAATCTAAAATAGGTGATTAATATTCTTACTTAGGTGTTGTTTTAAATAAGTACGTTACTCTACTATTATGGGCTTTACTAGGTAGTAACTTTTTGAGTAATTCTTTCAAAGATATTTCATATTAGTATAAATAGTTATTTTGCTTTTCTTATTTTAATATTTGAGTAAGTAGTTTTGTTAATTGGTTTCTATTTTGAATTCACATACCACACTATATAATAGATGAGCTTTTAACAGAAAAGGGGGAGGGTGAAAAAAAAAAGAATTTTGAAGAATATCCAAGTGACAAACATTGACAAAAAAATAGAATTTTTTTCATATCCTATATCTTTATCTTTTTAGTCTTCTAATTTTATGTGTATTTGTGTGTCGGTGACGTTTAATGTGATCTTTATCTTATTTAGGATTTTGCTTTGTAGATTAGTTCTTTCCTTAGCTTTTTTTTTTAAATCTTGATTTTGATGCCATAGATAGCACGTGCAAGTAACTTATGCTTAGTTGAATACCCATTTGTTACTAAAGTGAACATTAATTATAAGAAGTAATCTAGTGTATAAGTAGTGAGTTGTGGATCATTTTATCTTTTGTTAGTACTTAACTTTTTCACTAGTTTTCTTAGAAATTGCCAAGTTAAAAAAAAAAAGATAAAATCAATTTATTGTCTTCTCGTTGCAATGGTTATGAAATTTGTTAGTAAAATATTAAGTTAGGCTAGAGGTTGGTAAGTTGAGATTTATTTGGGACATTTGTGTAAGTTTCCCTATATTAATTAGGCTTAGACACATTTTAAGGCCTATTAGTAAATAAATAATAATAATAATAATTAATGAGGGAGCGATACAAGTTGCGTATTGATTCCAAAACCTTTGTGAGAAATAAGTAATTAGAGAGATAACAAATAATTGTGAGGATGCGAGATGAGTCATGAACTAATTTAAGACTCGTTGCAATAAGTAATAATAATGAAATTATACAAATAAATGTCTCGAATCTTAAAGAGACAAAACAAATGAAATACTCTAAAAACACTAGAAAAACTTTAGATGCACTTTAAATATTAGCCCATGTGTTCATACCCGATCCTTGGATTGATATGCTTAAATAATAAAAGGATCATGTGCATATTCCGCATCTCGATGCCTTTAAATTTAAAATAATTATGTTATAACCATGTGTACATTTCGTACCTTGGATTAACATTTAATTTCAAAGAAGTACCTTGTATGCATACCGCATTTGGGTGAACACAATTAATAAAATATAATAAGTAAGTAAGCGGTAATCAATAAGCCACAATCAATAAAATACAAGAATAGCCAAAAAATTGATTTAAGCCTTACATTAGTCAACGAAGCGACCGTGCTAGAACCACGGGACTCGAGGGGTGCCTTACACCTTCCCCTCGGTCAACAGAATTCCTTACCCAGTCTTCTGTTTTTGTAGACCATAAATTAGGAGTCAAACCTTCCTTTTGATAAGGGATTCAAGATAAAAGGTGACTTGGAACACCAAAACTCAATTCCAAGTGGCGACTCCAAATAAATAATCCCTTCTCAAAACGTCACTTCAATTGGAAAAACTCTTCTAACTCAACCATGTAACAGGGTTGTGCGAAAAAAGGAGGTCTGACAGCTCTGGCGACTACGCTGGGGAGTATTTAATAAGAATTCGAGCTTTGTATATTGATTCTTGTTTGGCTTTTATCATGTTTTGGATATTATTGTGTTTGGAAGCCTAATGTGCTATTTGTCGCTTATTTACCGCTTTAATATTTATTTGAACTGTGATATAAACTGTATCTTCTCTCGCACCCCTCTGAGTCTTCTGATAGGTAATTATGTTGTGTTTGCCTACCAGCATCACAAAATTTCTGTCTTGAGATAAAGCCAGTTAGCCTACCAGCTTCTGGTGAAGGATTTAGTCACACATGTTTAGGCGAGAGAGCAGTTAGCTAGCCAATGCTGTTCTACTACTGGTGACGCTTGACGCTCCTCGGCTCAGGTTGTCCACCCGGGTAAGCCAGGTCTAGATACCATCTCCTTTAGGATTTGAAAGCTTAGAAGAACAAGCCACAAGCCAATGAATATCCCTAGAAGGCTATGCTTTATTTGCATCATGTGCATTGAACTTAACGGGACTCAGCACAGGGGCCGGGCCCGTCTAGGATAGGTATCAATTTTTTGGACCAATATGTTCATCTTTATGTGCTATATGTAACATTATTTGGTAGGCTTCACTCAAATGTTGGCCGCCTTTAGGATAGACTGATTGAACAGAGGAGAGGGAAAGAGAAAATTTCCAACTTTTCATAAGATACCCATTTTTTTAAAATAAAATTTTGAAGGATTCTGGTATGTAAAATTACAATTTTCAAAATAGTTTTTTTTAGTTATGTTAACCGAACTACGCGGGTTTGATTCTCACCGGATGTGAGATACGTAGGTAACCTTCATCAGGTTCAACCCTATCTTAAAAAAAATAAAAAAAAAGGTTTCTATGGACTATTATTTATGATTTATTATTTTTTTTCAAATAATAATAATAAATAATATAGTCACTTTGTCAGTTTTTAACCAGTTTTGCCCTTGCATCCGGTCTTTTTTCGAAATAGCCTTGAAACCTTCCTCGGAAATGCAACATGGGAGGCCTTTTTTTTTATTATTTTTTTTACTTGGTTTTACAAAAAAACAAAAAAAAATATTCATTTTGGGCCTTTTACTTTTTTATTTCATGACTATATTACTAATTTAACCATTTTTTTTAGTCCCACAGTTTGGTTTTTATTTTTTATTTTTATAGAAACCCGAGAAATCGGAATTTTTGTGTCAATAGTATATTTGATTAAAACCTAACCCCGTATCTGGATAAACAGGTGCACCATGAGTGGGAAAAGAGGTAAGTCTGAAAAGAGGCCCAGGTCAGAAGGGATACCGGATTTTTATATTGTTGATCAGATACCACAATTATTGTGGGATAGGTGGAGAAATTTTAAGGAATACGAGCGAGACCAGATAAAGAAGTACTTGGGACATTTGGTTCACATGATGACGATCAAGCCCGGTAGGGATGTGATCGAAGCTTTGATTCCGCATTGGGATCCTGAAAATAATGTGTTCCATTTTACTGACTGTGAAATGACTCCGACCTTGGAGGAAATCGCCCATTTCCAGGGGTGGGGCCGCAATCTTCGCCGCCAAAGGCCCATAGTACCAAAAAATGTGAATGAGGGTAAGTTTTTGAAGCTCTTGAACATAAATTACGGACAATATGAAGGTTTAGGAGGCAAGTGGGTTAGGTTGGGATTTCTGTTTCACTTGTACGACCTAGAATGCAATTTCGAAAGGAATGTGGAAAAATTTAAATCAAAGGAAGACAAGGAAACATGGAAGATACACAGAAGGTTTGCATTTATGGTTGCTTTTTTGGGGCGTGTAGTTTTTCCGGAAAGGGAAGGACGAATTGACATCCGCTTGGCAGGTGTAGTGGAGGCTCTGACCTCAAAAAGGGATGATTATACTTTGGCCCCTATGATTCTTTCTTCCATTTTTCGTGCCTTAACTAGATGTAAATTGGGCGCACGAAACTTTGATGGCTGTAACATTCTATTACAGATATGGTTTTTGGAGAATTTTTATCGTCATCCTACGATCACTAATTTTAGTGAGCTCTAGCCCAATCACACTTATGACCACCAGAAAAGAATTGACAAATGTGACTTACCTGAAGGGATTGACGCCTGGAAAGAACTACTTCTTACTTTGTCTGCCAAACAGATCACATGGAACTACGATTGGTTTTCTTCTAAAGAGGTCATTTGTGAGTCTGCATACCATTCTTATTTGGTACTCATAGGATTGGATGGTGTTCACCCCTATGCTCCACTTCGGATAATGCGCCAGTTTGCACGACGACAGGAGGTGCCACCAACATGAGATATGAGCAAGTTCTGTTATGATTTTAATAAAGATCAACTTCATGACGAAGAGGAAATTATGAAAATTTGGCATGCAAGTAAAGTCTTGGAGTTGAATGAGATGGTAGAAGATCGAGATCGTGGAGAGATGATTCCTGAATATATTACTTGGTTTCATGATCCTACGCCGCTTAGAGATAGGCCTGAGGGGTCGAACAGGAAGAGAAATGATCAAAGAACTATAGAAAAGCTGAAAGAGGAATTGGACCATGCTCAGAGGACCATAGCCAAACAACAAGCCCAGAAGAAAGCCGGAGTTGCTCGGATTCGTTTAAATATTGAGAAAGATTATCAATCTTCCTTGAGGGTCATGGATAAAGATATAAAGCAGGCTAAAAATGAGGCAACCCGCTTAGAAGAAGAACTGGCAAACACGATTGGTTTAATCAGAAGAGTTGAGGCAAACAAAAATGCTGAAATACATAAGTTGCAAGAAGATTTGAGTATCATTGAAGAGGATGAGCACCAGCAACAACTGGAGTTTGATCAGCAGAAAGAGAAGTTTGAAACAGAAAGGGCCCACTGGATACGCTCAAAGAGTCAGCTTTATGCACAATTAGAAGAAATAAAAAGGCAGAAGAGGGGTCATCAATACACAGATTTTGAGGCAGAGCGGCGTCAGTGGATGATTGAGAGAGGTGTGTTAAACCGTCGCATTGAAGAATATGAGGGACGTGAGGCTCAGATGGGGCATGCCCTTGGTTGCAGAATTGTCACCTGAATATGGGGCAAGCTAGAGAGCAGGTACTTCGATTGGCAGAAAAAGCACCATATGTTCATGATGATCATCGTCTAAACAATGAGGAAGTTGGTCAACAAGCACGTTCCCTCGTTCCACAGTTGCCGGCGGTGTTTTAGAATTTGTACGAGACTTTGGGGGGAGAGTGGAGGCCAAGAGATGCAGACCATTGATGATATCAGTTTAAGCAAGAAGACCATTGAAGATTAAATTTTTAGTGAAGTCCATTAGTTCTTAGTTTTATTTTTATTTGTCGCATTTTTAATTTTATATTTGGAGTCTTTTATTCTTATCAAAGTTTAGTTTATTCTAGTCATGTTTATGTCTTTAGAGTCAGTAGAGTCAGTTTGTATATATTTCCTTTTCTCTCATTGTATATAAAAAAATTGACTGAAAATGAATGAAAAATATTTTAGTTTGTTTAATTTTTAATTTTTTTTTAAAAAAAAATTAAAAAAAACAAAAATCATCAGAATTGTTATTATTTCTCTATGTAATGGTATGATTCATGTGGCGTCATGATACGTGGGCAATCCTCATCGGATGTGATCATAGCCATAATTAATCTGGGGAAAAAAAAAGAACAGCAAATTCAAAAGGAAATAAACCAATAAGCCGGGATGAAGCATGAAGCCTTCCAAAATCATTTTAGAAATGAAAATGGCATTAGGTGCATGGCATACAATGTGTGATTAATATCTGCAAAATGCCTAACTCTAACACGTTTGTTGTTTGTCATTTTTAAAGAGATAAAGTTAAACAGAGGTGGTTGGTTTGTGGTTTAAACTGGCGACTCATCCTTACAACACGAGATCAAAAGGAAAAAGTAGAATGGCAAACAATAGTGAGAATGAGTCAGATAATGATGATGTCCATGGACAATTGGTCGAACAAGGTTCGAGACTGGTTGAAGAAGTAAGAGTGTTGAAACAACAATTGGCAGAGATGTACCAAGCTTGGGTGAATGGACAAGCACCACCCTCACTACCATAGGGCCTTCGGATAATCTTCATAATGTGTCAGTTGCAAATCAAGTGCCCATCTCCATAACAAGTAACCCATTGTACCAACCTGGATTCAGTCCGAGCATTAACCTTCCCACTATCCCCAGTATCTCCATTCCACGTCCTCCAACCGCACCCCTTAGAAATGACCCACCTACCGTACCTATTGTCCCTACTTTCACCGTTCCTCAACCGGCTCTCGCTCAAAAGCTCAACAATGAACCAGAGTTGAATGCTCATGATGCCCAACATTATTCTCTAGAACTGACTTTCAAGGTTCCAGATTCATACAAGCACACTCCTCATAACATGTTCCCAGTTGAGATCGAAAAGCCCGACAAGAATATGGAACAAGAGGAAATGACCAGAAAAATGAAGAGCTTGGAACAAACCATGAGAAACATACAGGGTTTGGGAGGCCACAAGAGTGTTTCGTTTAACGATCTATGCATGTTCCCCCATGTTCATTTGCCACCCGGCTTCAAGACCCCCAAGTTTGACAAGTATGACGGGCATGGTGACCCCGTTGCCCGTTTGAAAAGGTATTGTAACCAACTAAGGAGAGCAGGAGGTAAAGAGGAATTACTCATGGCCTATTTTGGGAAAAGTTTGACAGGAATTGTGTCAGAGTGGTTCATAGATCAAGACATCTCTCACTGGCATGTTTGGAACGACATAGCTCAAGATTTTGTCCAACAGTTTCAGTACAATATTGATATAGTGCCAGGCCGCTCTTCTCTCGTCAACATAAAGAAGAAACCAACAAAAAGCTTTAGAGAATATGCAATCAAGTGGAGAGAGCAGGCTGCTAGGGTCAAACCACCAATGAAAGAGGCAAAAATGATTGACTATTTTCTCCAAGCTCAGGATCCTGATTACCTCCATTATATGTTAGCCGCCATTGGTAAACCTTTTGCTGAGGCGATTAAGATTGGGGAAATAATTGAGAATGGCATGAAGTCGGGAAAAATTGTGAGTCAGGCAGCCCTTAAGGCGACCACACAAGCAATTCAAAGCGGGTCAGGCAGTTTCGGAAATCGAAAAAAGAAGGAGGAAGGATTCATGATGGCATCTGGGTTCGGGGGAGTTTAAAGAGGAATAGTTCCTTCTTATGTGCAATTCCAACAAGGACAATCCAATTGTCCTCAACATTATTATCCGCCTCAGGGTCCCCGGTACTCAGTTCCCTTGCAACAATACACGGTGTTTAATGCTCTGGCTTATGCTAGGCCTCCCAATCACCAATAATGGCGGGCACCGATTCCACAAGGCTCCCGTCAACTCCGGCCAAATTTTCAGGTGCCATATAATCCTCGTCCCAGACAGGAATATGTGAGAGAACGGGAGCCAAAGAAAGAGTTCACTCCAATTGGAGAATCGTATACAAGCCTATTTGGAAAGTTGATGCAGTTGAAGTTGATTGAACCTATCATGCCGCGTTATGTGAATCCTAATTCAAAAGGTTTTGACTCCAATGCATGATGTGAGTATCACTCTAACACCCAAGGTCATAGTACCGAAAATTGTTGGACATTAAAGAAAGCCATTGAAAATTTGATTGAAGCAAAGGCAATTGTGGTGACAAACAATGAGGATACTCCTAATATCACAAACAATCCGCTCCCAGCTCATGATAATACACATTTTATTGCGATGATTTGTTATGATCGGGATTATAAGCAGTCTAGCAAGACAGAGATGGTTGTTGGAACCATAGGGCAAGAGCCAAAAGTGATAGTAAGCCCGCCGCAATTTGCACCATTGATTATGAAAGGTGCGAGTTTTAGTTCAAACTTGGCAGATTCTGAAAAAATGGTTCTCTATGTCTCTGGAAGCACAAAAAAGGTTGAGGTTCAATTGGGTGGGCCAAAACTTTACATCCCTGGGAACATTCAAAAGATTGTTCCAAATAATGGTTTGAGAAGTATAACAGAGCCAGTTGTGATCCTGTTGCACAACTCCCAGTGAGAAACACAAAAGCTATTCCCTGGAATTATAACAAGACTGTCATGACATACAAAGGAAAAGAGATAGTGGAAGAAATAGATGAAATGGGGGGCTTGACCCGCTTTGGAAGGTGCTACTCACCAGAGGAATTGAGAAAAGCTAAGCAAGCCAGGGAAAGTCACTTGCCAGTGAAAGAACCCGTTGCAGAAAAAGAAGCGGAGGAATTCCTTAAGAAGATGAAAATGCAAGACTACTCAATCATTGACCAATTAAGGAAAACCCCTGCTCAGATATCTTTGTTATCTCTGCTTTTGCACTCGAAAGAACATCGCCTTGTGTTGATCAAAACTTTGAACGAGGCATATGTCTCAGAAAAGACAACGGTGAATCAGCTAAAAAAATGGCTGAAAGATTCTTTGAGGTGAACAAAATTTCTTTCAGCGATGATGATTTGCCTGAGGAAGGGGATGGGCACAATAAAGCTTTGCATCTTATGGTCAAATGTGAAGGGCATTACATAAAAGGAGTCATGATTGACGGAGGCTCAAGTGTAGATGTATGCCCTCTTTCTACTCTACAACAGCTGAACATTGACACTAACAGAATTTGGACTAGTAATGTCAGCATCAGAGCTTTTGATGGTTCAAGAAGAGACACTATTGGGGAAATCGAACTCACCATGACAATTGGCCCGGTTGATTTTAACATTGTCTTTCAAGTGTTGGATATGAAAACTTCCTAAAGAAGGCCGTGGATCCATATGGCCAGAGCTGTACCATCCACCCTACATCAAATGGTCAAATTCGAGTATGACAGGCAAGAAATTGTTGTTCATGGGGAGGACGACTCATCCATCTATAATGACCCGTCCATTCCATATATCGAGGCCAAGGAAGGATGTGAATCCCTCATATATCAAGCATTTGAGGTGATTGAGGTGGAACAAGTGGAAGAAGGAAAACCAATTCTGCATCCCCGTCTTTCAGCCACATCTATGATGGTAGCTTCGCTGATGTTGAGGAACGGCTATGAACCAGGAAAAGGATTAGGATCCTCCCTGTAGGGAATTGTGAACCCCATTGCTCCCTTTTCGAAGAAAGATAAATTTGGCTTGGGTTTTAAACCAACATCAACTGACATAAACAGAGCCAAGGCCCGCAAGAAGAATGGTTGGAAATTGTCCAAACCAATCCCTCACATTGCCTACTCTTTTGTCAAGCCAAAATTTGAAGAAGTCCAAAATCCTTCTACTCAGGATGACTTTGATGAAGTTTGCCAGGGTCTCAAGGAGATGTTCTATAGGATCAATATGGTTCAAGTTGGTGAGGGCCCTAGCCGTGCAAGTGTTCAGCTGATTGGTCCAGATACCTCGCTCAACAACTGGGAAGCAACTCCTCTTCCCATCAGGAAGGAGTCTTGGTAGTCCATTTTGTTGCTTTTTCTGTATTTGGATTATTTTCAGGGTTGTAATCCAGATATTTTAGTTGAATTACTTTGCTTTGATGTTAACCTTTCTATCCTTTCAAATTCAATGAAATGAAGTTCCAATTTCATAGTACAATTCTGTCTTTTTCCTTTCCCTAATTTTTGTTAATTTCTTATCATTTTCAGTTTCGTTAATGCTGGCTTTAAAAACATGACATGCACGCGGAATTCATGCCCAGATCTTAAAAAGTTGTCTAATCTCGAAATAATGAATCAAGAAGTTGAGTATGATGAAGATGAGGCTTTTAAGGAAATAAAAAGAGAATTGGATCAATTTGAGAATAAGCCTAAGCCTAACTTAAATGCAACTGAGGCAATTAACCTAGGAAGTCCTGAAGAAACCAGAGAAACAGAAATAAGCATTCATACTGAACAAAAGACGAGAGTTGCCATAATTCAAGTTTTGTTCGAGTATAGAGATGTATTTGCTTGGTTGTATGATGACATGCCGGGTTTAAGTCTCGATTTAGTGGTCCATAAGCTTCCCACATATCCTAATTTTCCACCAATCTAGCAAAAACAAAGGAAGTTTAAGACAGACATGAG